TGTAGTACCTTACCGTTTGCCCAGTTTTTCTATTCCCAGCATTCCCTCAGACTGTAGTTTTTTTATTGTCTCTATTTCAGCTTTCAACCCTTGCACTGTTGAATTGTTTCTTGCTATTTTTGCTTTGCCTTTTCCTCTATTTCTTGCATTTTTTTGGTTTGTTTTTTCTTCTATCTCTTTCAGGGATTTTCTCACATCCTCTTTGAGGACCTCTATCATTTTCATGAAATTGTTTTTAAGGTCATTCTCTTCTGCTTCACTGCATTGGGATGTTCAGATCTTGGTGGTGTAGAGTCTCTAGACTCTGGCAGTGTCATATTGGTTTTTGTGTTACTGAGTGTGTTTTTATATTGTCTCCTTCCCATCCCATGTTCCAGTGGGTGCAGAGGGAATCTCTTCCTCTCCTGGTGGTTATGGGACCAGGCTTCCCTTCTGGTGGATGCAATCAGATCCAATACTCTGGCAACTCTCCTCTTACTGTGGATGGAGGCGGTCCAATACTGGAGCTATGGCAGTCTCAGTGTGGGCTGTACCTTGTTGGGATGTGGTGGGGAAGTCCTGTGTATACATCAAGAAAGTACTGTTGGCCAATAGGGAGGCAAGATAGGTGAGGCTAGGAGTTGAGGAGGATTCTGGGAAAGAGACACAGGGAGTCACGATGCAGCCTCCAGAGGAGTAAGAGGTCCGGACCCCTTTTTCGGGAGGAGAAATACTTAGATTAACAATTATGGGTTAAATACTTAAGTCAGAGCTAGCCAGTAAGAAACAAGCAAATGGCCAATAGCTTCATAATTAATATAGTGTCCTGTGTGTTATTTGGCAGTTCAGACAGTGTGGCAGGGCCCAGGTGGATGGCGGGGAAGGCTACACTCTACAGGGATGAAATCAGCAGTCTGCAGTCCCCAGGGCTCAGCTGGTTGTGTGCAGGGCACAGGAAGGCGGCCCAGGATTACTTAGTCCTGTGAGTGAAGAAAGAGACTATGAGGCTAGCAGTCCCTGGGTGAGTTGGCTCCTGCCGGGATGGGAACCACAGTGACAGTCTCCAGGCCTTACAGCTCTTCTTTATGGACACTACAGTAAAGGTTCCATGGTGGGTGAATTGGAGAGTCTGGCTTCCTGTTCCACCTTTTATGACTGTCTTTGTTTGAGTTTTTATTGCTGTGGGGAGACACCATGACCACAGCAACTCTTATAAAGAAAACATTTAATTGGGTGGCTAGCTTACAGTTTCTAAGGTTCAGTCCATTAACATCATGACGGGGAGTATGGCAGCTTACAGGCAGACTTGGTACTGAAGCTAACAGTGCTATACCTTGCAGGCAACAGGAAGTCAACTGAAAGTCACACAGAGGGAAGCTTGAGCAAAAGAGACCTCAGAGCCCACCCCCACAGTGACACACTTCCTCCAACAAGACCATACCTCCTAATAGTGCCACTCCCTTTGGGGTCATTTTCTTTCAACCCACCACAGTGATATTAGGTCATTTAATGTCAACTTTTAATGTCAACTTTTAAAGGCATATTAGGAAAAATGAATGAAGTCCTGTATGCAGAGAGCTCAGCACAGCGCCTGAACCACGGGCAGCACTCAGTGTGGCTAACTGTTCCTCACTGTTGGTATCTTTGCTGTGTCACAATTACTTCCCAACTGGTTTCATTACTTCCAGTCTTCATTTTCTCCTATGCTTAGGGGATCATTCTGTCTTCCCACTACTGATTCCCCACCACACTGAAGACAATATCAAACCAAGATACCAGGGTGAGGCCAGATGGCACAAGGAGGCCTGGCCATGTCTGGCCCTGCATGACTGACAGCCCCTCCTCAATGCTCTCCGTGCTCCCACCTGGCCAGCCTTCCTGCTGCTCTTAGACTTTGTATGCTTGCTACTGCCTCAGAGCCTTGGTGTGTGTTCTCCAGCAGGACTGTTCATGTTCACACAGTCTTCCGGTATAGCTGGTGCAGTGGGCCTGCCTGTAAGTTGTGAAGTGCATAGTCCTGTTTATTTTCTTTATGACACTTTGCTTCTGGTCCCTTATTTGGTCTATTTGGTTTCCTGTGCGTGGTCTACCCCCCTTTACCTTGTCCTAATCTGCAGAACAGAACTTCTGTGTCTTCCTGACCACTAGATGTTAGTCAGTGTCCTCAGGGCTTAGAGCGGAAAGCCCAGCTTAGCTCAAGAGCACTAGAAGTATTGGAACAGTGAGGAAAGGTATGGCTGGAGTGGTGTTAACCACTGTACCCTATTCAGAGAAATACCACTTTTCACCTAGATGTGGCCTCCCCCACAGCACCCTGCTTAAAAGAACCCCAGAGCACTAATTAGAATGTGGAATTGTTAGGTTCTTTCAACCTCTGAGCTGATTTTCTCTATACAAAAGAGATCATGAGTTAAATGGAACTTCTCCCAGACCTATGGGGCATCAAACAAACAAATAAACAAACAAAACAAAACAGACAAAAATCAAACAAACCTCAAAGGAACCACTTAGCTTAGGGGGGACATCAAAATTGACTGAGGTGATGTATGGATAATGGTTAGCGGTACAGGGACTATATTAATTTTTCCTCTGTACCTCGCCTTTGGCGAAAGCCACACTTGGAAGTCACTAGAAAGCCAGGCTCTCCAGGAGCCTCAATCCTGGTTTCCCTGGCAGCCATTACTTTCCTTCTTAAGTTCAATTAAATCAGTCCTAATGAGTGGCTCTACAGAATGGGAGCTCCTGTTTGCAGAGCTTGGGGAATAATAACAAGCCCACATTAGTGAGGATGGCCACTGCCAATCAGGAAAATTGATTCTCCCACCCAGGCAGCAGGTAGGTCTCTGCTTTCAAGCATCAAGGCTCAGACTTGAAGCTCATACTCCCTTGTGCGGTAGAAGACAATTAGCAACAGAATTCCTACACTTTTCCTTTGTTCTGACTCCTCTAGATTCAGCCATCCCTGATCCACGATTCCTCTGGCTGTTGCCATTACAAAAGCTTCTGGATAAACAGAAGCAACCACTTTTTAATGGAGATGATAAAATACCTTTTATGACTCTGTAGGCAAGGGGCAAGGGCAGGAGTCAGAGGTTCTGACACGCAGCTCATATTTACCCTTTGATCATATGTCATTTTGTTAGAAGACAGCTATGCCCTCCTTTGCTGTGTTTTTAAAATAGAGTCAGAGGAAGTGTGGAATTAATCTTAACCTTAAACACATTGAGCCCAGTACTTCCTATCCAACTGTAGAATGCACTATCTAGTTTCCTACACCTCCCTTGCTAAGTTTAGGTTCTTTGGGTCAGCTGTTAAGAAGGAAAAGAAGTGGGAGGGGCAGGGCTTCGGGAGGACAGAGTGAGGCACAGCCCCTGGCCATCTAATTTACTTCCTCACTTCTCCTCCCCCCTTCCCTGCTTTAACAGAACAAGGCTACCCAGGAGCAAGGGGCCATCGGGATTCTCAGTGTTTCACCGCAGGATTGGGAGCTTTCCCTTTTTCATTGTGCATTGCTTCATTGATGTCCCCTATGAGTGCTAAAAATCAGACCATTAACAGCATATGGCTTGACTATGCTGCCATTCTCTAGAAAGCACAGCTTTGCCTTGCTTTTTAAAAACTGGCCCCAAGAAGAAAGAAAGTGACCGCATCTCCATTTTACATGCTCTCCATGGCAGAGGGAGGCAGGGCTGAGCCACAAGGCTTGAAGAATTTGTCTTTTCAGATGTTTCTTCATTTAGTTAAAGTTGTTAAAATGACTCAGTTGTTGCCAAGTCAGTCAATATTCTTCAGACTTTGAAGATATTTACGCTTTAGCCCAGGAAGGTGGTGGCACTCACAGGCTGTTGTGTCTTCAAAGTGATTTCCCCAGAGCTGAGTCTTTAGCTTTGGCTGGGTGTTGAACCAATGCTACTGGAGTGATGCTACACTAGGGTCTGGGTATCTTTCTTTCCCGTGGCAGTGGCCACCTAGTGCAGGTGCTGATCCCATGAAGTGGACCATTACATGCTTAGGTGGAGCGTGCGACTTCGTGGATTTTCACCCCCTTCAGCCAACGTCTCCTAGATTCCCAGGCTCCAGACTGGATGCCAGCCACCACATTTCCTGCCAGAGGCCAGGGCTCCCTTTCCACAGAAGCACAGAGAATCACAGAGAGCAGGTTTCTGGCTTCCCAGGCAAAGAGCTGGGATGAAACCTGGGGAGGAGTTTTGTAAAGCAAACAGGGTAGAGGAGGAGAAAACCTGCCAACATGTCTGTTTGTGGAAAGTATAAAACACATGTTAAAGAGACTAAAACATGAGCTCTCATGGGTCCATCATCCAACTTCAATAACTACCAGCTATCTGCTAGTTAGATTATGAATCTGACCCGGCCCTGTGCGTCTTTGTGTGTGTCTGATAGAATTTTACCTTCCCAGCATGTGAGTTCCATCTCTTCCCATATCAGGTAGGTAAGAATAAAATTTCATAAGTGAACACTTCCTTGTGGAGGTTTTTTTTTTCCTGAGATAGGGTTTCTCTGTATTGTTTTGGAGCCTGTCCTGGAACATGCTCTGAAGACCAGGCTGGCCTTGAACTCACAGAGATCCGCCTGCGGCTGCCTCCCAAGTTCTGGGATTAGAAGCATGTGCCACCAACACCTGGCAACTTGTTGAGTTTTTTTTTTTTTTTGCATTTCTCTAATTGTTTTTTAAGGTTCTGGGATAGGATATTCCAGAATGTTTCAATTAAATGCTAGTAATGCGGAAAACGTCCCCTCCCTCAGTCCTCAGGTATCTCTATCAGTGGCTTTCAGCCACTTCCTTCTGTCTGGGTGGATCCTTACACATGTGCCCAGTGGACTGCTGGTGGTGTTTATGTTGCTGTATGGGGCTGTCTGCCTCTGGCACCCACCCGCTGCAACAAGGACAAGCTTCCTTTGGGCATTTGAGACCTCTGGGGCTCAAACATTGCTTGATTGCTGTGTTTTCAGTGAATGTCCTTTTGTCATGGTGCAATGACCCATTTTTTTTTCAACCACAGAGCTGATGGATCAGATGAGCTGCCAAATCATTTCGGTGGAGTGTGACTCAGAAGGGGGAGTGACTCAGAGGCCTGCACACATGATGACTTGGTGGCATTCGTCTGTATGAAATCCCTTCATTTTACAGATTGGTTGATTACTGCTGTCACTGTGAAAAAAAGAGCTAATGGCACCTGTTTTGAATCATATAATAATAAGATAGGAAAGAATAAAACCAATCCATAAAATCATATGACTATTTCATGGACGTATTCCTTGACTGAATGCCATTCCCGGTTCTAAGACATAGGCAATGAAATTTGAATGAATCAAGGAGAGTGAGTGTTGTGCACATGTTCCTCTTGCTGTAAATGGTTTTAATTTGTCATTCTCCTTCCATTTAAATCAGAATACACTTAGGAGAAAGATGTGTATACACTATAAAGGATTTGCAAGTAGAATTCAGAAAAATAGGCTTTATAAATGTGAACATGCTAGATTCCACAGCATGCTAAAGGGGTCCCAGCAGGCACAGCACATTTGCCCGGATCTTTTCCTGACCCTTCTGTTTCTCAGTCAGTTGGCTTCCTGTTAATGGAAAGATTATGGAGTGGAAAGAAAGGATAAGCCTGATGTTGGTTTCCTGTGGTTACTGTTGTAAATACACACACACACACACACACACACACACACACACACACACACACTCTTAGTGGCTTAAGCTACTTATAAAACAATCATTTTGTGGTTTTGGAGGCCAAAAGTCAGAAACAAGTCTTCAGAGCCGGAACTCCAGCAGGGCCACCCTCCTGCAAGCTCTAGAGCTCTGTTTCCTGCCCCCACCCCCACCCCACTTATAGGACATACCCACATTGTTTGACTTGTGACCATATCACTTTAGTCTCATATTTCCTTGACTCTGACCTCCCTGCCTCTCTCCTATCAGGTCCATTGTGATGACATTGAGTTTGCCTGAAAAACTATGGATACTTTCTTTATTTGAAGTCCCACCAACCATGTCAGCAAAGTTCCTTTTGCTATGTAACGGTAGCACATTCACAGGTGCCGGGGATCAGCATACAGACGTCTTGTTTGCGAATCCCTGTTCCCATGTGTCCTGCTGACGATAATTTTCCTCCTTCATGCACAAGGTGACCTGAGCTTATCTCTCCCAGTCCTCGTAGCCTAGGACAGCAGTGGCTTTCCGCTATTTGAAGCCTCTGTCTGGCCGCACTGTTCCTAGGATGACTCACCAGCCTCTTTTGTCACTTGTCATTTCTTTCTCGGCATCTTTTGTAGCAGATCCCTTCCTCATTTCTGTGTGGCCAGTTGAAGTGGCTTTCTGGTGTTTGGAGGAGGAGAAGAGGTGGTGCTCGTGTGGCCTTCGTGAAGATAGGGGAGAGGGGTGCAGGGATGCCTTAGGCCCTTGGGTGATGATGAGCAGAGGCTTAGTTTTTCACTTGGCAAGAGTTCTGTCCATCTCCCTTCGGGTGAGGATGTGTGAACAGGGCAGAGCTCTCTGGAGGGCAGCAGTAGTGCGGTATCAGAGGCATGAGCACTGGGCCTGTGACTCAGATCCGTTCAGCCCCTGGGTGAATCTAGCAGGTACCCGGGGACAGTGCAGGATCCCTGAGAAGTTGGCAAAAGCACTTGTGAGAAGGGACTTGATATCCAGTCAAGATCCTTAACCTTAACATTTCCTATTCGTCCTCTTTATGACCATTAACAAATCTCTCTGTCCCTAGCATGTGTCCAGGAATTGGAAAGTGGGATATGATTTTCATCATTAAGGTTTGCATCAAGGGTAAATGAGGCAATGTAGGAGAAACATTAAATGCATGAATGTTTTCAATTTGTTAAAGAGTTCTAGAAATACTGGGCCCCTGACCTTGGGTTTCTTACTGTCCTAAATCATTGCTCTCCTGGATCTTTAAGCCTACAGGAATATGGAGACATCAAAGTGCATCTAATTACAAACTTGGCTTAGGAAGAAAACTAGGGGCAGGGAAACAGAGGCACACGGGCTGTAGGGTAGATGTCTTGAGTTATGCTGAATGACCTAAGCTCAGCTGATATGGCTGGTCCCAAAAGAGCCAGAAGAAAGCAGGGAAAGTTGGAGCTGAGGACGCAGGCAGGGCCAGACACGTAGGGCGTGGTGAGGGCGAGAGGTTTTATGTTAGGAGTCTGGGGACCTGCTGAAGGATTTTGGCATCAAACATGTATGTATGTTGGATGAAGACTTTGTAAGCACCCTTATTAATGCTTCATGGAGAACAGATTGGAGAGAGGACAGCTCTGATAAAAGCCCAGATGGATGCTTGCAGTAGAGAGTATGCAGTGAGGGATAAGCAGGGGTCCAACAAGGCGTAGAGCACAGGGGAGGACCTGGACTGATTGGTTAGGGAGCAATTGCAACAATGGTGCTGGACACAGAGGGGTGGAGGAACTTTGGAGACACCTCAGAAATGTCCCCTAGCACTTGGAAGAGGTCTGCTCTGGGGCTGGGATGTACATTATGGACTTTAAATAATGAACCTTGCCATACTGGTAAGGTCTTCCAGACAAGCTTCCATGTACTGAAAGTCTGCCAACAGAGCCTGTTACTGTGCGAACTCAATGTCTGTCACAGTCTCTGGAGATGTTTTCTCTACTTTATAAACAAGGAAATGGAGGCAACAGAGCTATCCTAGACCTTGCTCAAGGCCAAACAATTAGCAGCGTTTAAGAACCAAGATCCAGTGGGTGTTGTTGGTGGCACACACCTTTAATACCAGCACTCGTGAGGCAGAGGCAGGTGGATCTCTGTGAGTTCGAGACCAGCCTGTCTCCAAAGCTATGGAGAAACCCTGTCTGGAAAAAAAAAAAAAAAAAAAAAAGAACCAAGATCCAAACCCAGGCTGGCCCACTGTTTCTGACAACGTCAGCACACCATTTCCTGGTGAACAAATCAACATATACTACACTGGTTCTGCTACAGGACTGAGCTCTATCCTGTGGACTTTGCTGCACCATGTTTTCAGAGGTACAGGAGATGTTAGTGTTTCTAGTTGCCATGGTTTGCATAATACACATTCCTCACCTGCTGGAATCTCCTGCCCCCAGCCGCAGCTGCCAGGGGCTGCAGACTGACACATACCAGAGTCGCAGAGAAGCACGTGGAGACAAGGCTGCGATGTACAGCCCCAGGCAGTGATTATCTTCTCAAGCAAAAACATGTTTGAAATGTTGGGGTTACCACAGGGCTCTGCCTCTTTCAACTGGAGGCTGATGCCCACCGCAAACAAGGCAACTGTTGCCTATAGTAAAACTTCGGTGATTGTTTGTAAACCAGAAGAACTTGGCTCCACCCATCTTCATTGCACCCAGAAACTGCAAAAAGACGCGTTGCCATGGCAAAAGGTCTGCCTACTTCCTCTGCAGGGCTAGCAGTGGCTTAGCCCAGCGGGATGCCTTCGTGAGCAATCACCTCCTGCTGCGTGGGTGGGGTCTGTACCTAGCATGAGTGGAGCCCAGGGTAAATTATATAAACTTCTGATTAGAGATAAGTGTAGAGGCTGGCTCTGTCTGTTGTCTTGTGCTTTACTACTGCAAGGGTCATGTCCTTTCCTGGAGTGTTGTCACAGCTGCTAACTACTTCAGCCTGGTAGCTTAAAGCCCTATAAAATGATTAGATAAGTCAGAAGGTGGGATCAGGGTTGCCAGTCTGGCAGCACAGCTGAAGCACATTAAAAACGGTGAGCATGCAGTCGGAGGGAGAGACTATTCCTGTACTCATCCCTTCCTACCAACCAAGGGGGGCATGGCTGCCTCCACATTCTTTATGATCTAATAAATAAAGCTTGCCTGAAGATCAGAGCCCAAAGCCAGCCACAGCCATAGAGGCCAGGCAGTGGCGGTACACCTTTAATCCCAGTAGTCACACTAGTTAGCTATAGAGGCCAGGCAGTGGTGACCACACCTTCAATACTAGCACTCAGGAGACAGAGGCAGAAGGATCTCTGTGAGTTCAAGGCCACCCCAGGCTACATGAGAATGAATCCGTCTAAAAGAGAAAGAGCTCACATCTTTGATCCCAGCACTTGGGATGACACACCTTTAATCCCAGCATTAGAGAAGTTGAGACAGGAGTTCTATGGCTAGGCAAGAGAGGAATAAGGTCACAGGAGACAGGAACTAATTGCAGTCTAGGCAGTTGGAGGAGCAGTGCATTTTGGAGATGCAGTCAGAGGACACAATTGCCCCCTCTGTCTGAGCATCGGTAGAGGTGAGAACTCTCTAGTGGCTGGCCTCTTTGCTTCTGGTCTTTAGGCAAGCTTTATTGGATCATAAAGTATCACCACAGAAGGGTGGAAATGCTTTTGGCTGCCCTTGTCCCTGGAATGTTCTATGACCTCTGTAGCCCTTTTGCTTTTAGCAAGTGAGTCACTTGACGAAAAGCAATGTCAGGACCTGGGAACTGCTCAATTGGTGATTACTGAGTGTGCTTGAAGCCCTGGGTGGATCCACAGCACTGTATACAACTGGGCACGGTAGTGCTAACCTGTCAGAGGCAGAGGCATGAGCACCAAAGTTCAAGGTCAGGCTCAGTCACACGGTGTAGTGACTTTGGGTCTAGCCTGGGCTACGTGAGTCCCTATGTCAAAAGAACAAACTAACAAACGAAAAGCAAGGATAGGCAAGAAGAAAATCAAGGGTTCAGAGGGCATATAAAACAACTCTTTCAGGACAACAAAAGCTGAGCACTTATGTGTGCTCCTTTCAAGGGCAGCTTCAGAGAGTAGGGAAATGTAGGTCTTCCCAGCCCTTCCTCAGAAGGATCATAGTGACAAATGCAAGGCAAACTGACTGGAGACACAGCACTGCTCTATGACATGCTTCCAGAAAACCTGGTACAACTCTGAAAGAGATGCTAAAAGAGGGAGAGGAAGACAGGGTTGGCAGTCATAGCTCTTTACCTAGTGTCTGATATTCCCACAGATGCCTGTAGACTGAAGTTTCTGTTCAGCCTTGTTCCACTGTCCTTCAATCCCAAATAAACACACCGAGGCTTATATTAATTATAAACTGTTTTGCTGATGACTCAGGCTTATTATTGTCTAGCTCTCTCTTAGTTATCAACCCATTTCTATCCATATGTGTCTCCACTCTTAGCTTACTGGAGAATGCCCAGGCATCCTATCTTCCCAGTGGCTACATGGCAGCCCTCTGGCTACTCCTTTCCTGCCTTTTTCTTCCCAGCATTCTCCTCGTC